GTTTCCGCGTTCCTACATCATGCTCCCCTCTTTCCAAAACCGAAACGTCATTGTGTGGTCACAATGGCATCTTGGTTTTTCAAAGGTGAACAGACTAATGTATCTTACACGATACTGTCAGTGCTGTGGCAAGATACGCAGGAATATCAATTGGCTTCCTAAGAACACTAAAGCAATGCATTTTGGACTGCTTGCATATAGTGTTTAGCAATAACACATTGTTTCGAGTAGCCGAGACGAGCATCCGCCGTTTCCGATGATTACGCACTATAATAGCTGTGTCAGACTAGGCCTCATCGATATGCGTCCTCAATTAAGTACGGAACTGTCGCTATATAATTTATACAGGCTTGTTAAAGTCTACGCGAAGAAGCTAGGGTGTTGTGCATAGCACCGTACAATGGATGTTGCGGATACTCGCGCGGGAGGAATATAAAAAGTAAACCATAATATAGCTAATAGGTGATAGTTTTTAAAAACAAATCCTTCACCCAGAAACACAGCATCCAAAGACACCATGAGGATTCTGACACCACAAGGAAGGCCTATAAATGAATGCCCCCACCTCCACGATGGTAATTGTGAGTAAATACGAATCAATTCGTAATGCGAATGCATTGCGTGGCGCCCATAACGGCGTTTGTTACACCATGCAGCCAATAGCACCGTTTGCCGCACGTAGCCTTTTTCTGTCGCGAGCAACGCGATATGCGTTCCCAGCTCTAGTAGCTAGCGTGCACGGTTAAAAATGGCAGCATATTCACGGAGTGAATGATGGAGAGTGGGGCGAAGAATTCGTCCGTCCATTCGTTCTTGCTTCCGTCCGTCCATGCGTCCGTCAGTGTGTCCGTCCATGCGTCCATCAACCCGTCCGTGAATGCGTCTGTTCATGCGTCCGTCCCTGAGTTCGTCCATGCAGCCGCCCCTGCGTCCGTTCATGCGTCCATCCATGCATCTGTCTGTGTGTCCGTTCGTCCATCTATTCAACACTCCAAGTACCACCATCTGGCATCTTTTCATCATATATTCCCCATATAGAAGCACCGCCATCCAGCGGACATTCCAAGGACTAAACGAGAGGTGGCACACGCATACTTTCTAACGGCTTGCGCTTCGGGTCCACTTCCCACCTTTAACCACCTCGAGTTCATGGTATATACTAGTTCACTGTATTCATGGCACTGCTGCCGAACGCTCGCTAAACCTTTCGAAAACTAAGGAGGTTACGCCCGGCGAGTATGACGTAGCAAACTTTTTCAGTCAGATAGTGCTCAATGTACATGCCAATGGCTGTTAATGGGAAATGAGAGGCGGAGAATTCGGCTTTTACTTTCTTACGGCTTGCGCTTCGTATCTACTTCCCGTTTTTAACCACCTCGAGTTCATTCATGGTACATACAAGTTTATTGTATTCATGGCACTGCGGCTCAACGCTCGCTAAACCTTTCTGAAGCTAAGGAGGTTACACCGTCACCCCCGGAAAATCAAAAAAAAGCTTCCGGGGGTGACGGTTACACCCAGCGAGTATAACGTAGCAACCCTTTCTTGTCAGATAGATCTCAATGTACATGCCAATGGCCGCTAATGGTGATCGCAGCCTGCGCATTAACTAAAAGCCGAACGCTCCTGTCTCTCATTCTCCATCAACAGCCATTGACATGTACATTGAGCACTATTTTTTATTGTTCAACAACGCACAAAAAAAGTCTCTCACAGGCACCACCTTGGAGGTCAAAATGTTATACCTGTTACATACTACGGGGGACGAATGAGTGCCGTTATAAGGAGCTTCGCCCCTGAAAACACTATAAAGTGAACAAACCAGCGTTCTCCGCTCGGCGTTGGCGTTTCACAGCGGCGTCTCCAGCGCACATTTTTGGTCCTTGAGAGGCGCCCAGCCAGCGAACTGTCGAGTGGGGCGCAGAGGGGAGAGAGAGCGAACGGGGATAAAAGCAGGTGCGAAGCACTGCCCCTACCCTCTCCTACATTTTCTCGCACCACCATGCTCCGGTTGCTAGGGGTGAGGATAAGTAAAGCGCCTGAAGCTGTTGCTATAAGAGAAGGTGGTGAATGGATCCCGACGGACGCCTGGCATAGCCAGACTAAGCGATGCATTCGCATTTAAAAGGTCACAGGGAAGCTTCGCTGAACATGGATGCCTTGCAGCAGGCGCGCTTGCTTCTGTGCCTGGTATCCTATACAATTGACGGCAGTTCATAAATTCTGCTTCCAATTTTAAGGCAACAAACGCATGTAGCAACGCCTCCTAGAAAATCTATGCCTGGAACGTCGCTATGGTGGCTAGCAGGAGAGGTGTCAGCTTCGGCGCGCCGGAGAGCGAGCGAGAATTCATCCAGATGTGGCGGCGCTGCGGTCGTTTTCGAGATTCCCCTCCTCGTGCCCGCGTGCGCGCATCAGTCATTTTTTTTTGTTGTTGTTGCAAATATTGAACGCTACCCTGCGGATTATAACAAAGTCTACCTGTCACGATTGTGGCGGCGCGCAGCAAAGCGTGTATTAGCACTGAAAATTAGTGTTTTCAATTCCCTTCGAAGTATATTAGCTGCGAAGCTGAGACGATAGAGAATCAAGTGACTTGCCATGAGCTTGACACCAAAACAAAATCGTTCCAGTTTTCAAATTTGATGCCACAGTGTTCTTCATGAAGTCTCAATGCACGTAAAGATATCGGGAACCGTTATTTTTGGGACTTGCGCAATCAATATCTAACTTTACAAGCAAGATATTTATTTTCCCGAAAGCAAAAAAAAAAAAACATCGAGAATATACACAACATATGCATTAAGGTTGAAAAAAACTGCAAGTTATATAAAACTCAGCTAAAGCAAATGAACTAGGTAACTAAATAGAACTGTAACTACACGATCATACAATGGGCATAGATACACATGATATTGAGATTTGATTGGCAAACATAGATACAGTAACAAACCAGTTCACGAAAAAAAATTGATTTCTGCATGTGAAACACAGCCAGACAGCGACATCACAGTTGCTAATGGGAGATTTAAACAGTGGGAACAAGACAATAGTAAAATCACAAAAAACAACAGAGTGTGAGTAATGCACAATAACATAAAATAAAACCTTGTTCGCTGAATTACACTATGGCAGTTAAGTCATACGTCTCAACTTCAAGAACTTCATTTTCTATGTTTTTTTTATTGGACGCATTTTTTTCCAGCAAGAACGAAGTGCATTCTGGTCAGTGTAAAGAATCTGATTATCTGATTTGGCAGTTCCAGTTTGTGGTGTTCACAGCCGACCATATTTAACCTCTTCACAGACAGGCAAGAGATAAGGTCTGTTATGCTGTCACTTTTGAACTAGTTGAAACTGAAGCAATACTTGAATGCATCTTTCATAGTTTTGACCAGGCCTGTTAAGGAGTGGGACGGGTACAGAAGGCATGAATTTGTAGGAAGCAAGCTGGAATTCTCAGAGTGAAGCAACAACCTGCTATATTCGTTGCACGTCGTCCTTTTTAACCATCTGCCGTTCCACATAGCCATTGACGTAATAAGTGATCCGGGAGTCACCTTTGCATCCAATGAGATCAGTGTGGGCAGGGAGAGCTTCACAAGCAACCCTAATTTCATGAACCTCATTGAAGCGCCCCACATCTAGCAGCTCATCCAGCTTATTCTGCAATTTTATTGAATTATTCTGGATGCCCGGACATAGAAGGCTGCTCGGAACTCCAGAAGGAGCGTTTCTACTGGAAGGTGACTGTGCCAAACTGTAAAAACTGAGGCAATTCACAGATATCAAACATTTTGTTGGTGAAGGGTGATCATTCAAGCCACACATTTGCTTCAGAATTCCAAAAAGATTTTAAGTGCGTCTTGGCAGAGGCGAGTCGTCATCAAGTATCCATAGCATAAGGTTTTCGTGACATAGTGCCGGATGGAAAGGGTGCTGATTAGAGTGACGCGGAGTCCTTCGGCTGTTGATTCATTCAGAAACCCACTCTCCTTAAGTACAGCCTTTTCCCAAGTTGCTAAGAACCCATTGATAACATGCTTGCATCTACGGACTATGAATCTTTTGGTCGAAATGAGCTTCGCACACAACGCAGTTATTTTCCAGTGGTTTGTCAGCGGGAGGAACCGTACGCTCCCAGACCTTCCGCTGTTCATTGTCAGTGGGAGCACAGTAGAGAGACGCTTTCTTCCCTTGTTTGCGGGCCGAAGCATATCCCGCATTGCTTCCAGGTGCAAAGCAGTGCCTTTGCTGTTTACTCATCACTGTTCCATGTTCACATTGGCACGTATTGATCCCGAACAAGTCCAAATACGCAAAGCGCATACGTTTCGACTGGCGAGCACACGAGCAAGCGACTAAAAGTGCCGCGCTAACGGCTGGCAAGCGCTCTCGACCAATCACAGTTTAGACTTGCGCGCCGCTCCACGGCGAAATGAAGTACCAGCACGCCTCCTCTAAAAGCGCGGCCGGTACGATGCTGACGCCTCTCCTTCTAGCCACCGTAACGTCGCTCTCTTTTCAATTGGGAGCCTCCTGCCAGCACTTAATCTCGGGGGTCATGCCTCCTGCCTTGTGTTGCGACCAGCCGCCGCGTGAGACCACTCGCCTCCGTACCGCTCAGTCAACGTGACATAACCATACGGCTCTGTCACGTGACATCATGGCTACTCGGAGGCAACTGTGCGAGCATTACTGTGTTCGCAGGGAGCGGCCGTCGGAGACGCTAGCTTTCGTACCGAAGAGGAGGATAAAATCAGAGGGTAGGGCAGCGCGTTCGTGGCTCACGTTCCAGGCATATTTATTTTTTTAGGAGGCGTTGCATGGAGAAACAAGAGCACGAGGTGAGGCATATGTGACCGAAATTCAACGTTTTCTCTTGTGCTGCTGCCAACCATGAGGAACACCGACGAACGGCAGTGAAAATCCACGTGAATGACGACGAAGAAGTGACGCATCCGGCCAAGTGCTGACGTGACCGTTAACAGCGCACGAGGATGGCTGAGAAAGACTACTACAGGCTGCTGGGCGTCAGCCAGAACGCCACCGAGGAGGACATCAGGAAGGCCTACCGCCGACTGGCGTTGCGCTACCACCCAGACAAGAACCGAGCGCCGGGTGCATCGGAGAAGTTCAAGGAGATCACCGAGGCCTACACGGTGCTGCCGGGACAAGCAGACGCGCGAAGAGTACGACAGGAGCGTCGCGGATGGCCGGAAGGCGAAATTCGGCGGTCATCGCGTGCACACCAGGCCGTGCGCCGACCCGTTCAACCTCGGTTCGTGGGGACGAACCAAGCCCACGTCAGCGAGTCCCTTCTCATTCGGCGGCAACGTGTTCCACACCTTTCAATTCGACAGCGCGCCTAAGGTGAGCTAACGTGCATTTGCCACTAAACAAACAAGAAACCCTTGCTCTGCTCTATCGTGACTTGAAGCCGCGACAAATAAAAGGTTGATTTTAGAGCGTGGGATAATTGCTGGAAAGGTGAAGTTGCAAAAAAAAAAAAAGACGCTCCTTCTGCATCTTGCGCAGGCACGGGGTGGTGAAGCGTCTCTAGAGTAAAAGAAATGGAGATGAATAATAACAAGAGCGTGAGAAAGATGGCTTCACTATTACGATTATAGCAGCAAGTGTTGTGCCGAGAAAAGCTCCTGCTCACATTTTTATTCAGCCGTTAGCACCGAAAACAAAAGTGGGTTTTCTAGTTAGAGCGGCAACTCAATAAGGCTCTTCATGCCTGTTAGGGGCATCGGTCAATTTAGAAAAAATCAAGGGGTCTTGCATCTGGCGACAACACTCTGTGGCAGCACAATGAAGTCTATGAAGCCGAAGCACGCACTATTTCAGGGGCTTCAAGATGCTCGTTAGGGGCTTCATGATGATCCTTAGGCTTCAAGATGCCCGTTTCGCCACTGTCGTAGCTTCCTGTCTTACCGAAGCACAGGCGTTATAATACAGCGTGCGGAGCGTTCACCTTAACCACTCGACCGCCATGGAGGGTCCCATCATGTGTAGTCCTTGTTGTGCATTCTCTGTGTTTAACGCTCCAAAGTACCACCGTAAAATAATTAAGAGAAATTTCTCTTGCTTCGTGCAGGACTGCGAGATCCGCCACGACCTTTGGCTGACATTGGATGAAGTCTTTCGAGGTTGCGTCAAGAATATGAAAGTGACCCGCAACGTCACTTCTTCCGATGGCAGCTCGCAGTGCCGTGAGCAGAAGATTCTGACCATCAACGTCAAGCCGGGCTGGAAGGCGGGTACCAAGATTCGATTCGAACGCGAGGGAGATCGCATTCCCGGACGCGTGCCAGCCGACATCGTGTTCGTGGTGCGTGACAAGCCGCACCAACTGTTCAAAAGGAACGGCGCCGACTTGCACTACGTGGCCGAGATAAGCCTAACGGACTCCATCTGCGGACTGAATGTGAACGTTCCCACGCTCACGGGAGGCGTGATACCGCTCAAAATGAAAGGCCCCATCTACCCGTCAGCGATGAAACGCATTCCCAACGAAGGTTTGCCCCACTCGAAGGAGCCGACCAAGCGCGGAGACCTCGTGGTCAGCTTCGAAATCATTTACCCTGACACGCCGAAGTAGCTGAATTGGACCTGGGCGTTGCGTTGCGCCATTAAAATGCGAACACCATGTCTCACTGGAGTGAAGTTAAGGTATCTGAAACAGCAAAGGTTCCTGCGTGCTGTTAAGCGTTGGTACACTGTCCATTAGCTTCTCACATGTGATATAAGAGTGCTAATCGTTTAAGCCTAATGATAAGTTTTACAGTAGTCTGCAGGCTTACTTGCTCTGACCACTACTCAAGCATGTTATAGTGCCGTTCATATAATTCCGACATTTTTTTCTTATTCATGCATATCAGCACTTTGCCTAATGGAATTAAAGAACGAAGGTAACAGAACTGACCATTAACGAATTTGCGTACAAGTTCGTTCTGGTTCAGCATTACCTTATTTTGTATTTATGATATGTGCGTTCAGATATAACGTCAGGTTGTCAATTTATTAATTCCATTTATTAATAAAACATCTGATAGAAAAGCTTCAAAAGCTTTTTTTTTTGGGGGGGGGGGGGGGTGATGGCACTACAGTGACAACTCCATATGTCATATCGGTACCACTGATTTTTTTCATACCGAGCCATGACAACCCTGGCTGTTAATTTATGAATTTTCTCTAATTAATTCAGAACCCTGACTGTTATTTAATAAATTTTCTCTACTTTATCAATTAGAGAAAATTTGAAACCTACGAATTTGTATTTAGTACAGCTGACAGCACCTCTTTAAGTAGTAACAAAGTAGTAGACACATGACAAGAAGAGGTGTCATCACAAAGATTTATAAAGAAGCTGAATTGACTGTGTATTCAGCTATTCTATAGGTGCTAAGGCGCTTAATTAAAATCATAGTGTTGATGGTGGACACACGGCGACACTCGAACACATGCTCTGGGAGTGTAGAACAACTCCTCCCGACTCTACTTCAAAGAAGTGGGAGAGGTCCCTCAGGAGCTCACTTCTCGCCGACCAGCAATGGGCCGTCCAGCAGGCCTACGAAGCGGCCGCCAGGCACTCCCTGTCGGTACCTATGTGGGAGACGTCCGCTACGCGCTAAGCGCGTTCTGCAGGACTGAAATCAAGTTTTTTTTCATTCCATTCCATGGTATTTTCTTATTATCTACTTGATTCACTAGAACTGCGTGGATAACTACCATGTACCAAGTGATTGCTGTACGTGTGTACACGCGCAATGGGAAAGAACTTCAGTATCACTGCAGGTCGCATATTTTGTAAAACGCACAGAGTTGGAATAAATTGTGGTGAACTGGATCGGATAGGATGGCAACATGTCTCTAAAGGACTTCGAATGAATCGTGCATCAGTATCGTAAGGCGTGGGTTCAATTCTCTATTTCGCTAATGATGATTTGATCCACGCGATACAAATCACTGTTTCGTTTATTTTGATGATGTACTCTCACCAAGAGGTCTAAATGTTTGATGTACCAATGAATATCGACCAATAAATACATATGCCTGCGACCATCTTGCTCTTAATAATTTGAAGAGCTCAGTGAATAAAGTTGATGTATATATGTTTCCTTACTTCTCTCAAGAAGCAAATAAACTATGAACTTAAAACGCGTGAAAGTAAACGCCTAAAATGAAAATCGGTGCTGGAAGCTTTGGACGCGGATGCGTAACCCACGTTCGGTAAATAGCGTTCTGTTGTATTCACGTCCTCGCTACGTGCGAGCAGTAAAGGCACCCCATAGTGCTTCATGGCACCTTTATCTTGGCTTCTGCTATTTTGTGCTCCAGAAACGCAGATCGAATCAGGCAAGGAAGCAGGCTTCAAGGCTTTTGCACTATAAAAAATAGGCAGGAAGATCGGCCGGTGCGTTTCAAAGAGTTCAAGGACAAAAGCAAACGCAAATGAGTGAAGTGTGATGATGACTTTAAAAATGTACGCTTACGAAATGCACGCCAAATCGGGAAGGCAAGACGAGTTATCGGGTACACTGTCATGTAAGACTGAGGCACTCGCGCGATGCAAGAAAAGCTTGAATTCTCTGTCAGCGGCAATTTTTGAACTTGTGGCGCCCCCTACCGGCAATCGGTGCAGGTTAAAGTGGCTTGTGCTTTCTTCTTGCGCCACAGGCAGCGCTCCTTTCCCAGGAATGCTTTCGTCTCATCTTTCAATAATAAAGTTTATACAATTTCCCCTCCTCAAAAAGTTTATTCCTCCTCTTCCTCCATTTATGATGTCGTGCAGTGATACCAAGCCTAAGGCTATATTCCTAGATATTGGGGTTTTCTGACTCCTTGAAACATTCAGCCGCGTGTGTTTACAAAGAGTGGTTAACGATTTTAAATACATGGTACTCAACTAGATAAGAGTATGAAGCCATCTTGTGAGCCTCACGCTTGATGATGACATGTTTTCAAAAATTACGCCATGAACCAGTTGCCGACGACTCATGAGAGCAATCACTGATTGAGGTGAGGCCAACTTCTACTAATAATGGCCTCTATTAATTAAAGCACCCCAGTACTTCTCATTGCTTGAATCTATGACAGAGACCTTGAACTCACCTAAGCTAGCAGGCCGAAGTCGCACAGCTTTGTGCTCTTTACCGAGCACTGACATAGCACAATTCATTGTTCCAAGCAAACTGCCACACTGAGCAACATTGAGCTGCCACACGGAGCTAAGGGGTTGAACTTCACATTTCTTCTGTAACTACTATATCGTACTTTTTATTTGAACACCAATTTTAAAACAACAATCATGACCGAATTATTGACTTCGAAGAAAATTTGTGAGTGCAGCTGACATATGTTATTAGCTTGCAAGCCGATTTCGTACTTCATGTCAACAATGGTAAAAAACGATATTGTAGAAATTTTCCGCATCTCATCGACTGACATTGAGTACACCCAACTCCAGTTTTTGCAAGAAGACTTCTCGCAACGAAGCCATACTTCTTTTATAATCACTGTATCGAAAAATGATGAGATATGCATGCGTGTGAGCTACGTTTTATCGGTCAGGCTAAGGTAAGGCTTGAAGGAAACAAATGTCGCTATCATTCGCAAAATGACGATATACCTTTAATGAACTCGTCGCGTCCACAACATTATCGTTCTGATCGCTTTGTGTCTCGTTTTCTCAGATAATAAAATAATCGTGGGGCTTTACTTTTCAAAACAAGGATACGATTATGATACACACTATGGGAGAGTTCTCTGAAAATATCGACTACTTTGTTCTCTTTACGGAGCCCTGACATAGCACTATACAATGTTCCAAGCAAACTGCCACATTGCGCAACATTGAATCGAAATATATCCATTTCTTGGGGTTTCATATTTCGTGCGAACATCGCACAGAGACAAGCTTCTAGCATTTTGCCTTCATCTAAACCCGACTGCGGCGGCAGAGATCTGTTTTGCTCAGAGGGCATTAACCATCACGTATTTTTAAACTGGCCCTTAGTTGCCCATGATTCCGTGGTAAATGTAGACAATGTACGTCCGGAAGCGATGCTCAGTGGTTTGACGTTAGGGAGATGTTATATTCAGCAACCCAAATGGGAAATCGGCGCAGTGTCAGCAGTTCGATATTCATGATATCTACACTTGAAGAAAGCAAAAGCCTGGAAGGAGCGTCAAGTGATTTCGCTGGTTTGGGCAGTTTTCGTCTCACGACACAACCCTCGACCAGAGCGTGGTTCCACCAGGGCATCACAGCGCCAGTTGTAGACGGAACCAAAGTGACCCGAGGTATACAGCGGTGGCGCAACACGTGACCTTGACCTATTTCTCCTTTCATTCCGTTTGTGACTAGACTTTCAGATTGTCACTTGTCGCTCGGTTCTAGTCTCTCTTTTTTTTCTTGTATATACATCGTTTCTTCAATTGTTTCGCCATGCACGTATCTCTATGTACATTCGTTAGGCACCAATCGAACGTTGCTTCCAGTTTCCTGTTTGAAGTTCGCGCATCTCGTCCGCTTGCAGTTTCACACTACGCTCGCGCTCGGTGTCACCAACCGTTCACTCACACTTTGTTCCAACCGGTAAGACGATGCCGCACTGTACGACAAGTAGACGACGTAGGCGAACAGGCCGAAGCTGACCATGGCGATCGCGACGTTGGCTACCCTGCTGAATCGCGTCCGTCCAACGACCACGTCCAGATGTCGCATCAAGTCCGGTTATCCACTCCTGGCAATTGTTCCACACGAAGCAGTAGGGAAATCGGGAACCGTTCATCGTGCTCATAGCGTTAGTCAGTGTCTTTAGGGAGATCCTCTGTGCTTCGTAGAAACACCTGCGCAAGAAAAGCAGTCCTTGCTGGGAACTTTCTGCATTCTACATTCTACGTTACACCCCACATATCAATCAATCGATCAATCAATCAACTTTCTACATTAAGTGGGTCCGATAGCAGTGAAGGGCAGTTGGCTTGCAGAAAGGAAACACGAGGACAAAAAAAAAGATGACGCACTATGGGGCCTTGCAAAGTAGTTTATTGCTGCAGCTGCTTCGTGTGCTTCGATACATGAGGGTTCAAAAGAGAAAAAAATAGGCGACATAAAAGCAGTGGCAAAAATAACTGAGTAGCACTTGCGTCAGATTTCACTCCGTTGCGTTCACTCCTATGGTGAAGTAACATGAAGTAACATTTCTAAACAAATCATGTTTTTTTTTTTGTTTTTTTTCAAATATTTGTGAATATCTGCGGTTAATAGTCCTTTAAAAAGGGGCTTACTCAATGGTTTCTCTTACTTATGTGGCTCATCTCCATTCTTTCCCACTGCTCTTTTGTTCTGCGCATGTGGACTCATTATGTAGGTGCATGAAACAGCTGCAGCAAAAAACAATTTTGTAAGACAGCACAGTGTGTCGTGCTTTTCCTTGCGTCCTCATGCTGCAAATGTCCTGCAATGAACTTGAACTTGAACAACAGCAGAAAAAGCAAGCAAACCAAAGGCGCAATGGTACCCGGCCGCCCCCGGCCCGTCAACTTCACGCTACCACAACCCCCTTAGCATTCTCACCACGAAAAAATACGTGC